CCCAAGAATTCCACCCTCGGAACAGCAAACGGGCATTTGCTGTGTTTCAGTTTTAAGCCCGCGCCCCTGAAACGACTGAGGACCTTCCGCAGTACTTCGATGAGTTCTGAGCGGCTGGAAGCAGCGATCAGAACGTCATCGAAATATGGAACAACGCCCGGCAGCCCATGGAGCAGCCGCTCCATGAGGCTTTGGAAGATCCCCGGGGTCACGGAAATGCCGAATTGAAGGCGGCGGCAACGAAAAGCCCCACGATGGGCGACGATGGTCCGGGCAGCCGCCGCATCCTCATCCACCGGGAGCTGTTGATAGGCCTGCGCCATATCCAGTTTGGCGAATGTGCAACCCTACCCCAGGGAATGGAGCAGGTGTTGCACTACAGGGACTGGATAGGGGCTTGCCTGAAGGGCCAGGTTGATCGTCGACTTGTAGTCGGCGCAGATCCGCACCGACCCGTCCAGCTTGACTGGGAGGACAATTGGGGTCTCCCAGCGAGAGTGATCCACGGGTTCGATGACGCCCTGCGCCAGGAGCTTGTCAAGCTCAGCGTCAACCTTGGCCCTTAAGGCAAAGGGCACCCTGCGGGCCTTGAGCCGGATAGGAGCAACCTGGGGATCTAGGCTGAGGGATATGGGGGTGCCCCTGTAGCAACCTAATTGGCCATCAAATATGTCTGCGAACTCAGACAAGACGTCCTCAAGGGAGGGGGATACCACCCGGTGCACCCCCCCTATGGACAGGCCCAGGGCAGGGAACCAGTCTAGACCTAGGAGGACTGGTAGGGATTTTTTAACAACCAGGATAGGCAATTTCCCTTGGAAGGAGCCGTAAACCACGGAAATGGGAAAAGACCCCAGAGTGGGAATGAGGTTCCCCTGATAGTCCCGTAGGGTCGTATCAGCCAGCATGAGCTGGGCTTGGGAGACTTTAGGGCAGAGGCGGGAGAAGACAGCCCAGGACAGCAGGGAGCGGGAAGAACCGGAGTCCACCTCCATTCTGCAAGGCTGACCTTCCAGCTGGACCGAGGCAGCGACTTTCCGGGCTGCGACGGAGGCTTGGCTCACGGTGCCCTCATCGGCGGGTGGCTGGTAGATTGTATGGCAGTCTTCAGCCCGCTGAGCGGGCCGCGGCGGTTGGCGGCGCGGCTGCGCTTGGGGCTGGGCAGAGGTTTGTAGGAACGACGGGGCAGGCAGAGATGCCCGGCACACTTGAGCGATGTGCCGCACCTTATTGCACCTGCGGCAGGTCGTATTACGGAAAGGGCAGGATGTGCAGGCATGGCGGCCGCCACAACTCAAGCACGCAGGCACAGTGGCAGGAGGTGCCGCTGATGTTAGTGGAGGTTTGCACCTAGGATGCGCACGTAGCTGCCCCACGACTTCGTTTGAAGGGTCTTCCGGGGGTGACAGCTCTTCCACCTTGCACATCTGAGAAGTTGGGCCAGCAGACATCTGGGTTGGAGTTGGCGAAGCCAGCTGGAGGTGCTCAATATCGGCCGTGGACTGCTCAGAGAGCTCGGCTGCTCTGGCAGTCTCCACGGCCTGCAGCAAGGTGATGTCCTGGTGCCTAAACATCCGGCTCCGCAAGTTGACATCCCGCACGCCGCATACAAATTGTCCTACAAGGTTCTCTTCCAGGATTTGGAAATCGCACTGTGCTGCTGTTGTGCGAAGCGATTCCAGGAACTGGCTGATAGACTCGTAGGGTTTCTGTAAGCGGCGGCGGAAGGCGAATCGGCGTGCAATTTTAGATGGTGTAGGGGCAGGGTGGCTTTTAAGTTTAGCCATTAGATTATCCCATCCTCGTCGCCAGTTTTGTGGTTCGAACAGGAACGACGCGAGAGCCAGGTTAACAAACAGCAACAGGTTTATTCAACAGAAGAACGAACTGACAGCGATTCAAACTAGGCAAACACGCGCCAAGGTATTTATATAAGAAGTAACTATTTAACAACCAATCGGTGGCCGAGAAGTGGGCAGCAACCGCTGACGCAGTACCTTGGCCAATCAGGGAGGAATTGCGGCTAGCAACAGCCTCTGCTGCGTCCTAGCCAATCAGGGCACAGCAGAGCTGTTGCTGGCCCTTTTGCAAGGTTCTGAATGTAAAGTATTTAATAAATATTTAACACCCCCGAGTCCCTGAAGCCACCAGAGTCCAAAAAAAGGGCCCTAAGGGCAAACAGGATGCTTGGGAACAGACTTCTGGTTTGCTCGTAGGGCAGGTTTAAGCCCTCCGGAGCCTTCAGGGACATTCAGGGGGCTTCCTTGAAGCCTTGGGAGGACTAAAAATGACCCTACGAGCAAACCGGAAGTCCCTGAAGGCTCTGGAGGACTAAAAATGACCCTACGAGCAAACTGGAAGTGACTTATGGTTTTCTCGTAGGGTCGTTTTTCGTCCACCGGAGCCGTCAGGGAAGCCTCCTGAGTGCTCCTGAAGGCTCCGAAGGGCTTAAACTGGCCCT